GGCTTTCAAGGAAGGCCGAGAAAACGTCGAAGATGACCATCGATCGGGAAGGCCGTCCACATCGACAACTGACGAAAGTGTGTCGAAGGTGCGTTCTGCGTTGGCAATGGACAGACGGTTAACAGTCAGAATGATTGCAGACGAGGTTGGGATGAGTAAGGATACCGCCTGGTCAGATAGTTAACCAAACATTTTATCGGGAGGTCCTTGATCGGCTGAGGAAAAGGGTTGTGCGCGTCAGACCTGACATCGCTGACAATTGGATCTTGCATCAAGATAAGCCCCCACTCACAACGCGCTTTCCATTAGAGAATTTTTGACTGAGAAAAAAATCCCAGTGCTCCCACATCCACCCTATAGCCCAGATTTGGCCCCGTGTGACTTTTTCCTCTTCCCCAAAATTAAATCCAAGTTGAAAGGTCATCATCACGAGTCAGTAGAGAACATCAAAGAAGCCACGACGCGTGCCCTGAACACCCTAACAGAAGAAGACTTCCAGGAATGTTACCAGCAATGGCAGAACCGTCGGAACCAGTGTGTAAATTCCCAAGGAGCCTACTTTGAGGGTGATCGCTTTTAATGCTTTGTAATTCCAATTTAAAAAGTAAAAAAAAAATCATTATCATTACTTCTGAGACAAGCCTCGTATTTTATTATACTAACGGCCTGCGGCCGCTACGCTGGCCGTCTAATAGGCGGAAATTTGAATAGTCTATTGTGAGAATAACGTCTCCTTGATATTCTCTGTTCATCCCATTGCACATTCGGAACTGAACCGCTTCATTAATTTATACACATACGGCTTACAGTACACAGGGAGATTTTGTTCCTAAACACATTCATCTTGATATTCCAGTTCATTGCCACAATCGCCATTGTGAATGGATCGGTTTAGCTGGTTTTCATGAGACTCAAGACGACTTTACTGATTTCGTTGTCCCAGTACATTCAATATTCTTCCATCACCGATTAGTTTATGGGGCTATTGGCATTAGCTTATTGTACAGATACTATTGATTCTGAAACAGTACGGGCCATTTCCGAGAACTTGTTCGACTTTAGCACAGTAGGAAGTTAGCGCATGTGCGGCACAATACTAACGAATAATTCCTGATAATGCCTCCCCGACACATTAGCACCAGTGAGCAACACTATCCTGAGGCTCTGAAAAAGTGAGTTGCAGCAGGAGCACTTTTCCGTTGTGGTAGCGATGTTAAATAAATCCCCCCTACCTATAGTAAAATGTACAGCCTGACAGTGCTCGCTATGACAAACGACTGTAATTATTGAGATGACAGGAAGAGGCATGCAAAATGTCTCGGATTCCGTGATGTAATGGTAGCACATCCAATGTAGCAATGCTTGCCTCACCGGGAAGCAAAAGGTCCGGGTTCAATTCCTGGCCCCCCACCCCCCGGGTTTCGACACCTAAATGCTGCGTTCCTTGCTTCAAGTTGCTCAGCAGGCTCCACGACTCTCCCATTCCTGAGTTCAGCATTCGCTGGCTCTTGCAGTTCAGCGGTCTGAGCGGCCCTAAGGTACCTTACGTACAGCTGCGTGCTGTTTATCACTCATTCTAGCCATTACGGCTTGCACCTCCTAAAGCACCGATTTAAGCACTTCGCACCGCAATTGCAGTAGCAAACGTTGTTTCCGCGCCAGCACCAATCGATTTTTATCTGCAGCGACTGCCTCATCGCCGTCCTGTGGGTCCCACAGGACGGCGATGAGGCAGTTCTTCAACATATTTTCTTCACGTTCAATCTCACCTCGCAAAAATCGCCACCATGTTGATGGCATGAGCGGCCCGTTTGCACAACATATGAACCAAAGAACGTACGTGATTATTGCGACTTTATCTCAAATTAATCGGCCATTACATAAATCGCAAACAGAAAACTATTTCATGGAACGTTACACGCATTCAGTTAGTAGGCCTCGCGCGTTGGGGTGACAGCCACCACCACCACCACAACTTTCAGGTTCCTCGAATTAAAGTATTAGATAGATGACATTGCCCAAGTAGCACATAATCGCTTTCGAGGACGTACAACATGTTATCCAGTAGGTCTTTGAACATCCAGTGTACCGGAACGAGCACCTTTTTGGCGCTCAATTAAGGTACCTTTTAAATCGCGAAACCTTCTACATTTCACGATATTTTCTCACGCATATCATTGGTATCCCTCTTACATCGGCTGAAAGAAAAAAGGGTCGCACAACCGAAGATAGATGGCGCCAAAGTTGCCGCTATAACAGGTCAACTCCTGATATAGCTGGAATTAGTACCCGAAACTTTCCACAGTTTAGCCGAGTTTTTATCTACATAAACCAGAGCGGAAGATACTCAAGTTCTTGAACAAATCCGTCATTGGAGATAACCCCATCCAAGGAGTCTCCAGAGAACTCAGACTCGAACGATAGAGGGAGGATGGTTCAATTTCCAACGTGACTTCATGAAATAATTTCAACATTCATTATCATATCTTTCATAAAAAAGGGTTTCGGTGGAGGGAATGTCCGACTTCTGAATACAAGATACCTGCGGATAGGATTAAACATTTGTGTTTTAAGACTGAATTTCCCCGAGCTTTTCCACCAGACTATCCCGGCCAGTGCAAGATAGTATCTTCAATCCTACTAATCGGCCTCATTATGGTTTCTAAACCCAGCCTCGGGAGTAGGGCTCTACCAAGACCGAATGCAATTTAAGTGATGAAAAGAAAATATCAAAAATGTTAATTGCATATCGGAGGAATCCTAAAAAATAGTTTTGTTGTACCCATTCCATGGAAATTTCAAATTCACGTATTTCAGGGAACTCATAAATTGAACCGTTTCTCATTACTTTGGATTTTTTACATTTAAGGAGTCATTTTCAGAGACACAAATTGTAGATTTATGTCTCTGAAAGTGTTAGTACTGAAAGTTATTCCTCTCTTATAGGAGTAGTGCTATTGATAATCGACACATAAATGTAAGAGACAACCGCTCATGTTATGAAACGTGGATCGATATCCTCCATACACCTACTTGAGTGAACACCCTCAAGGTTCAATAAGTTTTAAGAGCTACTAGAGATCTACAGAGGGACGCAGACCTAATGGTCATCACTCCTAAGCCCTTTTAGGTCCCTGTGAACAATCTGACGTAACAAATTTCTGGTTCTTTGGTCATTCTACAGGGTGTTTCAAAAATCCCTCATTAATTTAATTTTCAATTTTCTTTGCAGGGAATCGACCATCGACATTCATCTTGTGGTAAACTCTTACTAAGTGCTTGAGAATTTTTTTGAGTCTACATTTGAAGTTCTACGCCGTTTTTTTCTGTTACTATGCAGACTCTAGAGCAGAGATGGAGGGTGGAGATGTGTGAAACACTGCTGCATCACTACGAAAGAGACCATTGATCCTGGAGCACATGTGGTTCAGCGGCGAAGCTCTCTTCCACCTTTCTGGTCGCGTCAATCGGCACAACTCCCGCATCTAGGGGGGAACTCACAATCCTATGGAGATCCGTGAACATGAAAGGGACACGCCGAAATTGGTCGTCTGGTGTGCCATCTCCTCAGCTGGGCTGATTGGTCCGTTTTTCTTCCGGGATCAAGATGGAAACTCCATAAACGTCAACGGAGAAAATTACCATCGTATGCTTCAGAAGTTCTGCATCCCCCAACTGTCAGCTGTAGCCGACATGCAAGAAGTCATTTTCCAGCAAGATGGTGCCCCTGCTCATTACCACGTGAGGTTCGCTCATTTCTGAATGAGCAGTTCCCGGATCGGTGGATTGGTCGCCGTGGTCCTGTCGAATGGGCTGCTCGCTCGCCGGATCTTACACCATGCGACTTCTTTTTGTGGGGCTACATTAAGAGCGAAGTGTACGCCACCAGGCCGCGAGACCTCCCCGCACTAGAAGAACGGGTCAGAAACACATGTGCTTCTGTTACTCCCGAAATGTTGTTTAATGTCGGCCAAGAATGGCTCGCTTGTTTCGAAAAAGGTGGTGCTCACGTTGAGGTGTACCAGTGACTTTCTAGTAGACATAAAAAGCCAAGTTTAATTCCACCAAAATTCTCGTGAATCGTAGACTCTGCAACCAAATTGTCATTTGATTCCTCTTGTAATTGTTGTTTTAATAAATTTTTAAAGATAATGAGGGACATTTGAAACACCCTGTAGATCCACTGATACTGAATTCCAGTCAATAACTTGAAAAGGTAATTGTCGATCTCAGTAATCAATATTCTCATGTTTCACTCTAATGACCAAATTTGAAATATAAAAGTTAGTGGGCTATGGATTATTTTCCGAGTTAGCAAGTCATCCTGCTGACCTTGCGATGAATGATGACCTTGTGAAGTAGCATTGGTGTGATCTCATGGATCATTTTTTTGTCGCTAGCACTTGTATGAACGAATTCCCTTGGTATTTTTCTATGCCTTGTGTGGACTCCGTTAGAAATGCCAATTCTTGATGGTGAAAAAGTTTCTCGGGACAACGCAGAGGAAATGATCCATCCCACAACTGTGAAATGCCTTCCCGGTCATCGGCTTCCCAAGTCCAGGGAACCGGGAAGTTGGGGGGACATCCTCGTGGAATTCGACATGAAGTTCCCCGATCGAATAGAATCGAACACAAAAGACCTCTTGAGAGATTCCCTTAGATATCTCAGTTACCAAGGACTTCGCTATGCTTGCTGCTAGTTGTTCTCTTGGGACTTCCTCTCTCACATTATTATTATCAGTTCGAATGGTGGTGTCCTCATCCTCTCTGCAGAGTGACATTTGTGATGATGAATAATGTACTTATTGCGCCACACATCTTACTATACTGTGACAGATTGTTAAATATTTTCACGGAATGAGGATCGTTAATACGAGTGAGCTGCTACATGCAAACAGATTGTTAAGACTTCCAAACATTTCTTTTCACGCTTATACAGGGTGTCCCAGAAGGAAATACCTAATTTTATTCATCGAATGCACTAAACATACATGGTTTTAGAATAAAATTACACGGGAAAGGAGTGATAGACCTTCAAGTTTTGTCTAATATTCAATGTGTCAATACACTTCTGGAGGCGTGTAATAAATTGTCCATCACTTTTACACAAATTGCAAGTGAGGCACTTTGAACACTAGGTGGAGATGCCATCGCATTGCCACTAGTGTTCGAGTCGGATCGTCTCATAATTGTTTGGGCGATACTCCAGCATCGATTTCCTCTTCCATCCCTTCCGCATCCGTCAACCATAATATGTCTACAGTGATTAGAAGCGATGACAGCGGCCTGGATCCCATCATCACCGTCCACCTTTCTTGCGTGATGCCCACAAAATCGGTTCTGGGTGACGGCGTTGCCCAGCAACCGCAGATTGTTACGTGTATTTAATTCCTCCTTTAATCTCCGATCGCATCCACAACTACCTAGAAACTACGGCTGAAGATTTCACAAGAGAGTATAAGATTACCCACGCCCTTCGTGCCCTCTACCTAATTTCGATTTCAAAGCAAAATGCAGCGTGATTACCCCCTCCCTACTGCCTTGATGACTGAGTCGTCCTCTCGTTCGTAAGGCGATGAAAGGAGAATCCCAATGGTGACGGCGAAGTTGATGACGGTGAAGAAGTAGAGAAAGAACCGATCCAAGACGTAAGAAACGGTTCTCCAATTCTCCAGCTCCACCTGACGGGCGTGTCGATTCCCTCCGTTTTCCATCTCCAATTCACGCTTCTCCCGGGTTTCCATCAGGGAGAGGATCCGACTCAGGGTCAAGTCCGTGTCTGCAAAAATGATTATTGATTATGGAAAATGATTATGATAACGCTTGTATGATACCAGTTTGCCATGGATCGATTCGTGGACGTGTAATTAATGGTTTTGGTTGTTCGATTTCATTATTGAATTCAAAGTTTCGAGTATAGCTTTGGCATTATCCAGGTATAGACAACTGATTTTCGTTCTGGAAGCTTATTGATTGCAGACTTCATGAAATCGAACATTTCTAAAGTAAGTAACGAACAGTTATTTTCATTATGTTTTACCGCTTCAGCTTATGGCTGTACCTAGGCTTTCACGAATGGGAAAGAAGAAGCCCCTAAGAAGATTTTAGAAATGCACGGTGACGTTCGGAATGATCCATGCAGCATAGATGTGCACCTGTGATCGGCTCCTTCCGGACTGGTTCGATTTGCTTCCGATAAGAATGACGTCGAGTCGAAGCCATCATTTCTTGAAAGAGGAATGGAGCTGGTATCCCGTCGGCCCATGCCATCGTCCCTTCTTCCTTCCCGAGCGCTCCGGCCTTCATCTGCGGGTGCTTCACAAGGCAACGTCCGCACGCGTGCATAATCATTCAAACGTTGGACGAGATGGAAGAATATGAGAAAAACGAACAATTCGAAATCTCGGCTCCTTCATGCAGCACACTTTCGCCAACACCTGACACATTCTCTTGACCCAAGGGAGCACTCGGACGCCCTTCAAGTGATAGAGGAACAAGGTGACGATGCTCAAGGCCACCTCCAAGGACACCAGGCAGATGCTCGCACAGTAGAATTTCCCTAGAATTATGGTCACGTCGTCAGCTTTGGTTCTTCTAATCAAACTACAGAGCCACAAATAGCACATCGATGAAATCGGTGTATCTCTTCTATGAAGCTTCCAAAGAGAAAGGGCCCAAAAGCAGGTCTCTGTCGGTCCAGAGACATTTATTTTGAGCAACAAAATCAAAGAGTGTCATCAATTTCCGAGATGTTACAGTATACAGCCTCGCAACTTTGAACGTTGTTAGCTTATACGTTTGCAATTACAATTCCTCGGGTCAACAAAACCGACCATCGAACCGTGTGGTCTAAGAGTGATAGGAATTCCACGGATTGTACCGATGAGAGGGATGTTCTCGGTGGGCGGGAGGAGGTCGCGGATGCTCATGAGGAAGATGATGGTGGTGAGCATGTTCGAGATCCCCAGCGTCACCTTCTCCCCGCTCTCGCTCGGCATCAGGAATGCTAAAAGAGCTAAATGGAAAGCGATCCCTCCTTGTCATTTGTTTTCGACCACGTCTCTTTATTTTTAGATCTGCAGGAGAGAGAAACGAGAAACGGCGCCAGTCGTACCGATGACATTGATGACGACCATGGGGAGAACGTAGTTGATGATGAAGAAAGCGGCGCGGCGCTTGATCCGAATGACGTAATCCACGACAGTGAAAGGGTTCTCACAACACGGATCTTCTTCTGTCCTATTCTCTGCCGTGTAAGATGTCAGCGTGAATTCCTCGTTCGATTTGTATGTCTTCAACTCGATGGTTTTGTTATGGTCCACTTGCAGCTGAATCTGTAACGACTCGCCGTTTTGACAGACAATAACTTGTTCGAAGACTACAGTATATTTATTCCTGTATCTGTATATACGAATATGTATGATTAGCCGAGTCTCGAATCAGCCGAGCACGAAACTCACGACTGTGGGCGTTATGCAACTCCTTCTGAATCATCATTAATCCTCATTTCTGCAGAAAAAAAGGCTTTTAAGTACATGCACCTGCTGAGTGGCAGCTATTGTGCCCAAGTCTGGCATTCGTCATTTATTTCGGGAAGGGTATATTGTAACAAACTTCACAAACATTTCGTCAATTCTAATCGTCACGCTAAATAGTATGCCTTCAGGGCAGAGCAATTACTAACGTCACGTACATGCCAGCTGTGAGATATGCGTCCCAAACATGACATTTTGAGTTCATCATATCGAGCAAAGTATTATTTTATTGAGAATAATTTACCTTCTCGACAAAAAAAAAAATTCGAGGGGATGAATCCCATGGGAAAGTTTGAAGAAGGAGCCTCAATTACCGCTGCAAAATAAAAATTGGTGACTTTCTTTACAAACCGATACTAAAAGAGATCGTTCGTAGGAAAGTGGAGTCTTCGCATCGTCTGTTGCATTGAACTCGTTGCCGTTCGCGGAGCGAAGTTCTTCGTTTGCATCTTGTTCGAGTATATCGGAGAGTTAAGGAAAGGAAGAGCAAGTTACTCTGGTCCTATCTTGGGTCCATGACATGAAGCGCATCGTGCAATTCTGGACGTCGAACGGGAAGAAGGAGACATCCACGTCGCAAGAAGAGCGGAAGATCGCAGCCGTGAGCAGGGTCACCTCGCCCGACGATTTCACGATCGCGTTCGTCTGCAGCAGCCGCTCCTTGTAATCCGTCGCCGCACTGCAACAGAAATCCGCATTCGCGTCGGTTCGTCACTTTGTGAACGGAGACGATTAAACACTGGGATGATGCTCCAGCGGCGATTTTCTTGCTCTGCCTCTCTGTTTGCCCGGAATAATACACAAGAACTCGACAACATAAGATGAAGCATTTTAAACATTTTTTTTACCTCAGTTAAAATTGGGACGGTGAAACTGAGGTAAAAAAAAAAAAATTTCCCCTCTTTCAACCTGTCAGAAGGCCTTTCAGGTAAAGATTAGGGGGAAAAGCAGTGAAATTTGGACGAACGAGGGGGTAACGTTTTTGTATGGGACGGAGGCACCCTTTAATCTGTTGAAGTAATATGCATCTAATATATATAGACGATCGTGACAGACTGACTGACTGACTGACGCTAATTCTAACCACGTTCTAGAAGGGTTAGAAATCTGAAACTTGGTACACAAGTACCTTTTGGGATGAAAAAAAAAGAAAAACTCTGACTTTGGAGGTACATNCTCGGCCGAGAGAGGATCAAGAAATGTCTGCTTAGGAAGGGGGAGATGTTTAGTTACGTGAAAGTTTCTCCTGCCAGAAAAGTAAATAGAGTCCTGGGGTTTTGTCTTTTTTCATTAGAGACTGTCTTTCGTAGACCTAAATATTGTCGCGGACCTAAATACTGTATGCACCGAGAGGATTTCTTCAGCCTCTGGGTTGAAAAAAGATACCTACATAGCATCGCATCAGATGGATTCGTGTCCTTTCTTGTTTCCAAGATCTCGCTCTAAGCCAACTAAACCGAAGGGCAAACAAACTCGCTAGTACCCAATAAAATCGATGTTCCCTCGACCTCACCATTTGCACGTCATGTTTTTTTACCATCAGTAGAGGCCAATTAACCCTTATAGTTTCAGAGTCGATTAGATCAACGCTATAAATATCATTTAAAGGGGCAGAGTCGAAGAGCTGGCATTGAAAGGATCAGAAGTGTATTTCGCCAGAGCTCTTAATCGTGTTGATCTTCTTTGTTTATCCTCCTCATTCATCTTTGAGAAATATCGCAAGAGGTGCAGCCTGAAGCGTATGGCTCCAAATAGCACTCATTTCGCCAAAATCTTAATTGCCGAAGGTCGTCATACCTGTTGTAGAGGATGACGTCCGGAATCCAGATGGATTGATAGGGTATCATGGTCTGCTGGATTCCACCGTAATCACTCGGGTTCCATTGCAGGTAGAAATCGTTCCATCGTTGAACGACCTCCACGTTAGTGACGAGGGCCTGGTTCCTCTCGTCCTATCGGACATCGACGCTCTTGCTTTAGACGTGCCTCCGACGATAGCCTAGAGGACATTACAGAGCTGGAACTGACCAATTCGATGATCCGAAAGAGAATGAGCCGAAAGGAGATCACGACAGGAGAATCGGAGTTGTCGACCGGGAGAACCATTGGATATTCTTTCAAGAGTTTTTCCATGAGCCGCTTTCTGTGGTCGCTTCCCTCCAGAAGCCTTCCCTCCCAAAGGAGGAAGAAGAGGAGAAGGAAACCGCGCCGCATGTCGATCCGGTGGATCCCACCTCCTCTCTGACGGGAATCCCAGTTCGACGGCGGAGAAACGCGCTTTTCTCTCTGTGGACTCTCCGGCTCGATTTCTTCGCCCGTTCCTAATGGCGTCTCGTCGACTCTGCGTTCGTTAAAGACTGCTGTCGTTACGCCGGTACTTTCCGCCCCGCGAAATAACGAGTCTTCCAGAAGAAACCGTTGTTTGCATTGCAGTTCCAGCGAGTGGATTAGCCCTCGGACTCGGCCGTATCCACGAACACATCTTTGAACTAACGACCTCATCTTCATCGTTTTTCTTTAACTTGTTTGCACACCTTTTATTTTCGTCTCGTCACCGCGCTCTCCTCGCGATCGTCTCTACTGATACCATCGTGAGGAGTCTCTCGGCTTCGAGTTCGTGGCGGAAATTTCCATTTGAAATTTCCAGCGGAAATCCCTAGTTTATGAGTGGCGATGAGGTGCGAGAGTATTCCTCTCTTTCGTTCGAAATTCCTGCTGCGTCTTTCTTGCCGTCTCCATGCATGTACAATTATTCGATGAATGTGACGCGGGAAATTTCCTCGATGAATCCACCAATCCTCCCCCGTCGACTTCATCCTCGTTCGTCTCTCCTAACCGCAGTCTACTGTGGGCCACGCTCGCGCGAAAATGCCAACCCTTAAGGTCTATTAAATGAGGGCTCGGGTGAGACCCGGGAAGTGAATACGGTCTGAAATTTCTACTGACTTCCCAGCCCGAAAATTGAAGCTTCGATTTCGAATTCTGAAAATCTTTTTCGAGCATATCACGCATGAATTCTTCTTCCGGTTTTAGATTTTTTTTTTGGCCACTCCGTAGAGTCGAAGGAAATGCAAGGCCGCTCTCAACTGGAGGGGAGTCCTCAACACCCTTGCCGAAAGCGAAACATAATAATATGCAAACCAAGGTCGCAGCTCCCACAAGAGCAAATAATTGAAAATTTTCCGCGATGCAAATGGATGCTCCTCTGGCTGAAAGACCTTCACGGCGGAATTTCTCAATTTCGACGTCAACGACTGCAATTTCGAGTTGAAATCAGTGGAGGAACAGACGGACCATAAAATTTCCCACGTTCTGCTTCTTCTCCACCGAAAAAAAGGAGATTGAGTAGGAATGAGACGGTGCTTTGATTTCCAGGATGAAATATTGGAAAAGGTATTCAGAGGGTATTGTCGCTCTGCTTCTCAATGCGAACCAAAGTCTCACAAAAAGTGAGTTTCAACGTCTTTACGCATTAAAGTTGAGCTGTTTGAACGTCGTGCAGCTAGCTTTTAGGCATCTTGTTTGGAGAGTTTGATTTTTAGGGAAGTCTTCAGAATGTTCGAACTGGTGCAAAAATAAATATGAGAAATGCACAATGGTACGAGGAAATCAAATTATATTACAGAAGTCATGGTTGCACGATATGTCACCTGCCCGGGATGGAACCAGTGCGTGGTAACTGAGATAGTTTGTACAGCGACCAACTGGACTCTATATGCGCTCCAGAGGCCGGGAGAATCGACCGTTGGCTTCAACGGCCGAACGAGAATAAAATAAGCACCAAGAAAATAAGCACCCAGGAAAGAGATTAATGGCACGAAGGAAGAGGCACCGAGGAGGTAATTAGATGTTCACTGAGAATCCCCTTAGATGTCGACGTGGCAGCCCCAAGGGTTGCTCACCGGAGTGAGTAGGATCTCCGCGTGGTCCTGGCCGATTCGCCCTTTCTCGATGTTTGCCTCGAGACGAGACGTCTCCGCGTCCAGCGGCGTCACGGCGATCCCAGTGATCCGGAATCCATCTTTCCTGAACCTGGCGGTGTAAAGCCTATCGGAATGTCGCACGACCGGTTCCTGTTGGAACGGTTCCCCCCCCCCTCAGCCGCGCCCACGATGAGGGAACACTGAGGGAGCCTCCTCCTCGTGTAAACGCCACAGAGCCAGTCCCAGACCATCTCGAGCTGCGATTCCACGTGTTGCCATCCCGCATGTACGAGCACGAGAGCGAGATACCCTCCCGATCCCACGGGAACCGAGTTAGCACTCATGGATCACGTGATATTATTTTTAATTTTCAAATATGGAACGAGCCGTGCAGCGACGAGTGTTCTCGTTCAAATGGCGTATTATGAGACACACGATCGGAAGAAGAAAATTGCTCCCTGACTCTGACTTCCATCTATCGCAGAGTCAGGAAGTTTGTGGAAAATGTTAATGAATCAGAAATCACCCAGGAAACAAAGGAAAGGGATACATGAAAAGGGACTCGTGAGGAAAGCATATGGTGCATCACCGCTCCTCTCCGCAGATATCGACGTGGCAGCTCCAAGGGTTGCTCACCGGCGTAAGGAGGATCTCTACGTTGTCGTGACCGATTCCGCCTTTCTCAATGTCTGCCTCGGGACTAGACGTCTCCGCGTCCAGAGGCGTCACGGCGATCCCGGTGATCTGGAATCCGTCTTTCCTGAACCTGGCGGTGTAAGGCCTGACGGAATGTCTCACGACCCGCTCCCGATGGTACGGTTCCCCAACCTCGGCCGTCCCCACGATGAGAGAGCACTGAGGAAGCCTCCTCCCCGAGAAAATGCTTAGGAGCCAGTCCCAGGCCTTTTTGAGCTGCGGTTCCACATGGTGCCATCCCGCATTTACGAGCGCGAGAGCGAGATTCCCTCCCACTTCCACGGGAACTAGTGCAGTCGAGGCAGAACTGGCTTGCCCCATCTCCTGCGAAAAAACTCCACTTCACCGATACGGCAGAGGTCTTACACGCTTTCACTACCCTTTGCTTACCGTGTAGTGTAGCCTATGCTCGAGAAATGCAGCCAGACGCGTCCGGAACGGTTCGCACTCTCAAGTGTTCTTGGTAATCTATAAACGTGGGCGTAGATAGGCATTTCCGGAAGGTGTTCACATTTATCTCCCTGGGAAATTCTTGATAAGAGGAAAAATATGATGACTCGGATACTAAATTTATCATTCCGGTCGACGTCTTGGAAAAAAAGGAGCGCAACGTCCACCGAGTGGCACGAGCGATGTACTAATGAACATGGAGGCAATTCACATTGGGATTCTCAACTGAGATTTCTTTATATCCAGGAAGTCCTTGTGGAGGTCGACGGTATGAAGGAAAAGAGTTGTAGGAATGACCTCTGCTCTCCATCCGGTCCATCCGGTTTCACCCAACCAATCACAGCGAATGATTCAACGATTCGAGCACTTGTTTTTGCTTTTACTTGTTTTTGTTTCCCGGGTTACGGGAAGCCAAGCTTTCCAGTTTCCTCTTTTAGTGCTTCCCGGTCGGTGTCTCCGTTTACGGTGCCGGGAAAGTACTTGACCTGAGGTGCCAGGAGATCCCTCACCACTCGCAGGTAGATTATGGTCTCTGTGCCACCTTCTGGAGTCACACTTCCCTAGCAGTGCATCGTCTCTGGCGAGAGGGACACCGTGGGCCTGGGTGGAGGGGCTCAATAAAATACAGGCAGGCGTCAGCAATAATGCGAATCGTATATTTTTGTTCTGTTCTGTTATGCAATACGGGGAACGAAAAGACGAGGAGCTGAACTCGTCACTCTATGAGGAGATCGGGGCTGGAATGAGATGCGTCCGACGGATTCGTTCCGCTTTCCAACACGCGGGACGCATGGGAGGTCTTCGATCCTGGTCTCCCACAGGGTCTCCGAAGCGACTAATCCAGAGGAAGGAAGGGGGAAAAACTAAAGAGATGACACGTTTAAGAGCTCGGTCCACCCATCACCACGGGGATCGGAGACGGGGTAAGGGGACTCGACCGGGTGTTTTTAGAGACGGATCGGGAATCGCCGGAGTCAGCGGTCGGGACCGTGTCGCTCGGGCTACCAGCGAGGTCAGGATGAAGTAGAACATTGAGGCCTGTGGTTTCCATCTTCTTCTCGAGGCACAACGAACGGGTGCTCATTCACTAATGGTTCCCTATCCTTAATCATTTATTCCCGCTCGATCTTATAACAGTTACAAATCCCACTTATAATCTGCCGTGTATGTTTCATCAGAACCATTAACCTATCTCTGCATATACTTGCCTGTAAACATTTACATATTTTATACATATTACTTGGACGCTTCTGCGCCATCTTTGGACGATCTTATTAGTTAGCACTTCTCCCCCTCACAGTTCCTGTGATATTATTTTTAGCCCTCAAATTTGGATCGAGCCGTGCAGCGATGAGTGTTTACGAATCAAATGGCGTATTATGAGACGCACGATCGGAAGAAGAAATTTCTTCCTTGACACTGTCTTCAAACTTTCGTGGAATACGTTGATCGAACGGGAATCACCGAGGAACGAAGCAAATGGAATTCGCAAAAAGGGAATCGTTATAAAATAGGGCATCACTGATCTTCTCCGCAGATGTCGACGAAGCAAGCCCAAGGTGTGGCCACCGGCGTGAGGAGGATCTCCACGTGGTCGTGACCGGTTCCGCCTTTCTCGACGTCTGCTTCGGGACAATGTGTCTCCGCGTCCAGCGGCGTCACGGCGATCCCGGTGATCCGGAATCCGTCTTTCCTGAACCTGGCGGTGTAAGGCCTGTCGGTCTGAGGCACGATCTTTTCCCGTTGGTACGGCTCCCCCACCTCGGCCGTCCCAAGATGAGGGAACACTGAGCGATCCTCCGACCGTGAAAAATGCTGCACGGCGCCTCCCAAGCCGCCTTCAGCTCTGGTCCCACGAACTGCCATCCGATTTGTACGAGTGCGAGTGCAAGATTCGCTCCCGGTGCCCACGGAACTACCGCAGTGGAAGTCGCACCGCATAAGCCATTCCCCATCTGAAGGGAAAAGCGCCATCGACGATACGGTCGATACATTACGAGTTCTCCTTCTTTGTCTGTATCGACATAGCTTATGCGTGAAGGCGAGAGCTTCTATGCACGGTCTTGGGCGCTTCCCACTCCAGGTCCTCTGAAGTACCTCGGGACCGATAGGTGAAGTACCAGGCGGGTATCGTTCACCGGATGTCGCTCGCTTCATATCCCTGGCATGCTTGATACAGGGAATCACCTGGTACTTTAGTTGCCAAGCAATAAAAAATCCCAGTAGACGTGCTGGAGAGATTTCAAATCGAAGGCACTTGTGAAACGTGAGGAAACACTCGAACAGCAAAAACGGATTGCCTTACTCACTCGCTTTTCTCTCAACTCCATTTCAGTTTTTTCTTTTTTCTGCTTCGTTTGCCTTCCTTCAGTTCATCCTCTCAAGTCCTCGATCATTCGGAATGGTGCTTAGAATGATCATTAGGAACCTCAAGATGTTTTTCATATTTCCCTCGATCCCAGACAATAACGACTACCTTGTTTGCATTTCCACCCAAGCTTTCTCGGTGCGAGTTGTTTCACCAGGAAACGTATTGGCCGGTTTTAAAGCTGGGATTTGCTGCTTCAGCCATTTCCGTCCATTTCCCTGCGCATTCCGAGTCTTTTCATTCGGAGTTGGATTATGTCGTCATTGCCTTTCCTTGTTTTCAGTGCATACTGCGATCATGAGTGACTCCATCGAGGACTCTGGGGCCAGAAGTCAAGAAAAAGAGAAACGCCATTTCATCTGAGGCCGTCTGTAGACGCTGCAATACCAATCAGTTTTAGAAGCTCATGCAATTCCTCGATTCATTTTACCCTTCTCGAAGGCACTATCCAGGAGCTTGCCATCGAGCGATGCAAATTTCTCGATGGCGAATGAGGAAATCTGAACTGAATCTCTGCCCGAGTCTAATCGGTCGGCCGTCCTTCGCAGGAAAGGACGTGATTTTATCGCTTCCTCGGCAAAGGCGCGGTGACCTTATGGATTCTAACCAACATAATTCTCATCTTGACGTCACTTTACTTTTCTTGTATGAATACAAGCCGTGGTTGAAGTCGGAGATGAAGAGAATGAGTGGGAGTGGATGGTATCCGGCCATCCATTCATCCGGTCACCCAGCTACTTAGCCACTCGCCCGTCCAGTCATCCGGCCATCCATCCATCCGGTCACCCAGCTACTTAGCCAGTCGCACGTCCAGTCATCCGGTCGTCTCTCTCATTCGCCCTCCACCCAACTCTTAAGAACTTTAAAATTCAGTGTGAGATGCAATGATTTTCTCGTTTAGTCCATGCGTGCCTGCGTGCACTCTCACCCGTTCGATTTGCTTTTCAGCCATCGTAGAACGAAAGGGACGAAAAGCAGACGCGTCGAGAGGGAAAGCACTTTCGCGACGGGACTCGGGAAAACCACTTGTGCGCGGCATCGCCTCTGCTTCGAGCAAGAAACCCTGATGAAAATGCGATCATTCCCGTGGTGGGGGATCGGGGATGTCCCCGACGAACGGGTTCGACGACGCGAAACGGCATCAAACACCACCTCCACGACTCATTCCATTGGCCTCCTTTTATCTCTTTATCTCTCTCTCTCTCTCGCCGTATCAGCGCCTGAGTATCGGCATCAGTATCGGAGCGTTACCGGAGCAACATTCTTTCCTCGATGTAGTCACCGAGCGATGAGGACTGAGGCACCATCGATTTCACGCTTTTGTGCACGCCTAGTTCACGAAGTCATTCATCCGTCGATTGGATCCTCTCCGAGTCGTCATCGAGAAGGTAAGCGAGCGACACCGTTCTACGAAACCAGAAGCAAACGTCGATGCGATCGAAGTGGGCAGACCGGTGCGGAATGTGACCCTCTCGATACCTTCGGAGACGCAGGATGGGGGCCAGCGTTGGAAAGAATTACACCAAGAACTACTACGAGATATTGAACGTCGGTCCAGACGCCACCGACGAAGACATCAAGAAGGCCTACAGGAGACTGGCCCTCAAATACCACCCCGACAAGAACGATTCCCCGGAGGCAGAGGAGAGATTCAAAGACTTGGCCGAAGCCTACGAAGTGCTGAGCGACAAGACCGAACGGAAGGACTACGATCGAAAGAGGAAGAGCGGATCCGACGTCGGAGGGTCCGGCGTCGATGGAGCGTTTCGCGCGCCTCCGCACGATCCTCGAGCCACCTTCGCCGGACTCTTCGGGGCTTCCGATCGCAACCCCTTCGGGACTTCCGATCGCAACCCTTTTGAAGGACTCTTCCGCGACGCGGGACCCAACGCGGCCGCTCGACGCAGCAGCACGGACCCCGACGACGAAAGCGAATCCCCGGCCGTGCAGCACGACCTCCCCGTCTCCCTCTCGGACGTGAACCGCGGCTGCGAAAAACGCTTCTTCTTCTCCCGCCGGGCGACGGACGACGCCGGAACCTCCAGAACGGAGAAGAAACTTCTCCTCGTGAAAGTAGAGCCCGGCACGGAAGCGGGAACCCGGATCGTCTTCCCGCGGGAAGCCGATCGCCTCCCCGGAAAGACCCCCCGCGACGTCGCCTTCGTCGTCCGAGACGAACCTCATCCGCTCTTCCGACGAGACGGAGCCGATATCCGGTACGAGGCCCACATCACCCCCGAACAGGTGAAACGATTTGTGTTCTTCCTTACATTAAGGCATGTCGCCCTCAGAGCGATTTCCATCCTTAAATAACTGGGAATTTGATGAGGTCATTTTGTTCTTCCGTTGTCATTATGGGTATGATTTCCGCACCTGCGACTAATGCAAAGAAAGGATCGAGGTCTGATGACGAGGAGACTCAACGAATATTTTCCCCCTTTCTGTTTAATACCGGTTTTTCGAAAGCCTTTCACTTTCCAACGGTAATTCATTTGGTATATCCGAGGTACAGGCGGTGTTCATACTGGGAGGAAAAAGCGAATCGTTATCACATATCTCCGGTTTCCTAGAATTCCTCTGCAACTCAGTTTGTTTCACGAGAGCTCCGTTCGACCTATCCCGTTTTTCTCCAAGTCGAGGAAACCCTTAAGACTGAGACTTCTGTGACCTGGAATGTAGAATTTTTACTTTTACTTTCATTTCTTCATTCAAAAATGAATCTCTTTGAAATACTTCGGCTAATTACAAGCGAATTTATTCATGAAAATTCCCCTCGATTGAAACTTTACAAGTATACGAGGCAGTACACACAAACTGCTCCATATCTTGGTCCTTTCGACCCAGAACGGTAAAAACAGGATTACCTAACCACGGGATGCGCCCGAGGTTTTTCTACGGAACTAAACCGTCGCAATCTTCAAGTACTCCCCCGATCTCCCTCTAGGCCTCGTGCGGAATGCGCTTGGAAGTGCCCACACTCGAGGAAGGAACGGTGACTCTGGACCTGACGGGCGAGGCGATCGACCCGGGGACCATCAAGCGCCTTCCCGGCGCTGGACTGCCCAAGCCCAAGGAACCGGGAAGGAGGGGGGACATCCTCGTCGAGTTCCGCATTCGCTCCCCGGACGGGGCGGAGTCGGGCCGCGAAGACATCTCGAAGACGAGTCGAGACGCTCGCCCTCGCGAAGGACCCGGCGAGAATCCTGCTTAGCTGCAATCGTGTCGCGTTCTCTCTCTCCGTATTTGTCGATTCCTCCCCTGCAGGATTCCAATCATCGTGCTAAAGATTCTACTTCTACAAGTTCGAGCTGTACTGTCAGCTTTTGCATCGTCATGGAAATTAGTGAGAAGAACCTGCCAATTAGTCCGGGCGGATCGTCCGGACCTCAAATCCAAATTCCTTTTCGCACTCGCATTTCAAATCGGTGGTATGTACCTTTCGATCGAAGGGGAGAAGTCACGTGTATTCAGCATTTCTTATGAAGCGTTGAATAACATATTTTCCTCTCGAAATTCCTTTCTCAGTGAAGATAATCCACTTCTCTATAACGATGAGACATTTCCTGTTATTCATGTGGAGCCAAACTTATTTTCTTCACCGTTGATGTCGTGCGTTATCAGAGACCCATGATCCAGGAATCCTCCCTTGCAAACGGTCAAGGATTGGCTACGGTGCATATCCGACGGGCATGGAACTATTAATATCCCAAGTAACACAGTATGTCGATGGTGCGTTTCCGAAATGTTGGCAATGTTGGCAACTGAAGAACATCGATAAAACATTTCTTCACTTGTGAGCATTCGGAAAGGTGCCGAAACACTTCTACGAATGTATTAGGTTGTTACAAAAGTTCTGTCGGTTTTTTACCCGCAACTTTGTGACTTCATATCTCTGCTCCAAGTAAAGTTTATTAATCAAAATAAGTTCCATTACAATCAACGCACTTCTGCCAACGAGGTACAAGCGCACTTATACCATTTTGAAAAAAATCTGGATTTCTGGAGTCAATGAACTTCCTGAAAGCGGTGTCAATCTCTGCTTGGTTGGAGAACGATTTCTCCCGGAGGAAACTGTCAAGATGTTTGAAAAGGTGGTAGTCTGTGGGGGATAGGTCCGGTGAATAGGGGGGGTGAGGGAGAGGTTCGTACCCCAACTTGTTCAGTTTCTGGAGAGTGACTTGTGAAACATGGGGACGAGCATTGTCATGGAGTAGGATTGGGACATGGAGTAGGATTGGGACAGCTTCTGGTGGACCACCAGAAGCTGTCCCAACTACGGCCGACATTGGTGAATCGAAGGGGATCGTTCTCAATTCACATAATCTAAAAGAAAATGTGCTCAATGACCATTTCCGACTTCTCATTTTTTTGGCGATATGTATTTGTAATAGGATTTCGACTATTTAAATTTTTTATATCTACTATTGACTGAAAAAAAAATTTACTCTTGGGGTGGAATTTTTTTTTGGCCAAAAGTAGGATTCCTTGAAGAACTCATATCTGGAAAAGTGATAAAGGTAGCACGTTTATTATGGTCTGATTTAATAAGGGAGACAAAATACAATTTTGAAAATAGGTGTGAAGCAGAGTATCAACATTTTATACAATTTAAAAAAAAATTGGCCTTCTCAGAGTGCCTATTTTCATTATTGGTATCACTGCTTTTCAAGAATGCAGTTATTTTCAAAATTTCCTTGGTCCCCTTTTCCACGAGACCATTACCTTCATCACTTTCCAGATACGAGTCTTTCAAGGACCCCTACTTTTGGCATGTCAAGCCTGTCCCAAAAGTGGGGGAAAAAACGCAGCAGCCTATGTTAGATATTAGACAAATCTATACAAGTATAAGTAAATCCTATTACAATTACCTAATTACCAAAAAAGTCAGAAGAATCGAAGATGGCTTTTCCCCTATTGAGTAATTTGGGGCGGAATGATCCATATAACATTTGAAAGACTAGCAAACCGTGGTCCAACCTACACGAGACACGCACGGGTCGTACAGTGATATAATTAAGGAGACTGAATCAACTCCTAGGCTGAAATTTAATGATCGAGAAAATGTTCCTTGCGTTTGAACATAAAAAAATCGCGAGGGATGCAAGATGAAATATGGGTATTCGAAACTGCATTACGTTCCATACTTGGCAGGGATTCAAGATAGACTAAGACATGCTATTCCGGATCAAGCTTGAAAGAATTGGCGATGGAATCTCATCTCGAAATGTTATACACCGAAAGGAATTCTCTAGGGTCCTAACATGGACTGACAATTGTCAAAAAGAGTCGATCGTGGAGTCTGTTCAATAGGCGATCGATTTATTGAACATATATTCAATAATTGGCAGAAGATGGGACTTACTACAGCAACAGCATCTGAAGCCAGAAGTGTAGCCTGATCCAGAACAATGAGATATGAAATGTTGACCAGGAGGTAGCAGACAGTAACCAGAGGAATTGCGATCATTATGGCACGTGGCAAATTCCTGAAGAGATGAAAAAAAAAACCACTGAAAATCAAATATGGGAAGACACACTATTTAACTATTAATACTTAATAAAATGAGCTTCTCCAGCATTAGTCTCGATTGAATGTAACACTTAGGGCCGATTGCATGAACGATGTTTTCCCGGTGTTTTTCGAAAGTCATCGGTTAACCGATGTCTAAGGCCAAAAATGGATTGCATGAACGCTATCTTCCTTTAACCATCGTCTAACCGATGTCTAACAGAAGCTGAAAAAGGTGTCGTTTTCATACAAGGGATGGGGCATGTTTTGCCGATATTTATGCCAGCGTTCGTGTACCATCTCGATGAGTATAGCGCTGCAGTGTACTTGTGAAGCACAATGGATTCTGTTTATGGATCCACTCGATAACGACGATGTGCTCTCGTCGTCGCATGGGAGGAATAAACTTAGGTTCAGGGCTTTATCCCTTTCAAGAACATGTCGATTAGAACTTCTGCGTGAGATACCAATTTGGAAAGGGATCAGGGTATGATGTCGACGGAACGAAGATCGTGGAAGGGATCCCTTAACTTTACATCGACAGATAAGAGCAATCCCTGTTCGTGTGCAATGAATCGTCATTTGTTCAAGTACCTATCCCCTGAGTAATTAATTAATATGACTCGAAAGTAAAGAGAGTAACATGAAAGCCTTTCGATTTGCATGTTGTGCTGACCCTTCGATTTTATGTGGCGTCGATTCCTAGAAAAATGGAATGGCGCAAGCCATTGCCCATTTGCATCGCTCATTACATTCCTAGGAGGAAAAACGGAGTAGTTGTACGAAGATGATCATTCGATATTGTCGGATTTCCAGGAGTGATCGGTGTCATCGACGACCGTCGTACTCGAATGGAATGCTCAGACAACTTTAATCAGTCGCAAATGCTTCTATTTCTTCGATGTCCAAGCGGTGCGCGATGCGGAAGGGATTATTACTGAATTTGTCATCACGTGACCAGGATCCACACGCAATTCTCGAATACCCTCATTTTGCAGTCGTACACAAATGATACTCCTATTTTCCACATTTCCTACTTCTCCGTGTGTCCAAAACGAATCCTTGGCTTTTACCTCTGATATATCGAAATACAGAGTAAGGTCAGAGGAGAACTCACCAGTTTCCAGGCATGATTATTTGTTGATTGAGATTTTCCTTTACAAGCTCTGCGAGATGTATCAATACATAATAATCTGAGGAAGGGTTCTCCTTTTTCAACTTAATTCGCTCGTTTTTTTCTGGAGTCCGAAGCGTATCACGCGACAACCGAGGAGTCAGGACGTGCTATATGTACCATGAAGGGTGTTTAGCCATCGTCTAACCATCGGCTATGAAAACATGGCTTAGGGATCGTTCACGCAATCGAAAGTAGACAGCGGTTAAACGATGTTTTCGTAGACAATGTTTAAACAATGACTATCGATAATCAGTGTCTAAAATAAACATCGTTCATGCAATCGGCCCTTAGTATTCGAGAGACATCCCTTTGTCACAAGGACGTAGATGTCTACAGGGTATTTGCAGCTTTCCTCATTGAGACACAAAGGGCTATGGCAGCATAGAGGATTCTACTCCCTACTTCCAAGACAAGGATTCATTCATTTACCCACGCTCTGCCTCTCTTAGTATACTTGGAGGAAAGCTCGTCTTCATCTCGGATATACTACTTCTACGCAATTAGCTTTTTAAATGAGTTCTACTCCAATAACAAGGGATTCAATTTAATCGCGGGAAGATATCTACTAAACACAGGCAAGTAAGCAAATAGATGAAGACACTCACACATATGGGTTCTTGAGTTCTTCGGTCACGTAGTTGAGATTGTTCCTGGAAAACAAGACGATTTGCATGACACAACGCATCTGAACCAATACTCAGCAGATCATGTGCATTCTGCAGTTAGGCATCATGACCTACAGATTTTCCCTGGCTAATTTTCTAGCCAGCTGATTTTAATAAAAACAAGCGCGCTAAAAATGCTACAATCAAAAGCAAACAAAACAAGCAAGATTGCGCCAGTTACCTTCGTTTCGCAAGCAACAAATTGGGACTGCACACAGTATACCCTAAGTGCAGGTGGGATTGTATTTCATAGCTACACTATTCTTACGCATGAGCTGAGAATTAAAGTATCAATCCAGGAATTTAGAATATTCAGTTCATCCTTCCACATATTTCAAGAACTGTATACCGTACAAAGATTCCGCATCCTGTGAAGATGGTCCGATATCGACAAAAAAAAACGAAGAGAAAAGGTGCCATAGTGATACACTGGACACGCGAGGTGTGGCACCTAAGTACCAGGACTTAATTTTTTATAAGCGCGGTGGCGTCATCATGAGTATTGCCGCACTGTGCGCCGATACATTAGCAACTAAGCAACAGTGTAGCTAAAGCGTTTATCCTGTTCATAGAATTAAGTAATACCAATACATCACCAAGTTTTGTCTTAATCTGGGGAAAACGGCATCAGAGACTCATAAAAAGTTTGCAAAGTTGCAAGTTACAAGGGTAAGGCCAGGACGCTTTCCGACATTTCCGGGCTTCTGAATGGTTCGCTAGGTTTCGAGCCGATATATCGACTCAGGTTCAGCAGTGCCTTCCTCGTCGCGACTCGTGGACAGTCAGTCGCATCCAAGAGGGGTCGGAGAGACCCCTCTAAGATCTGCGCAGAAACGCGTTTTGGGGGGTGGAACTCCTCGCACTTTAGGGTATGCTGTGTAAGCAGACAGGGTAGCGAAACGCGCCTTTGGGATGGGAAGCCAGACAAGACCATGACATCGCGAAATCCGAAACTTGTGAAAATGTCCTCTACACCGAAAATCGCTTTCTTTTTGTGATGGGTTTTGTGAATTCGATGTCCGGCCATCTCACATTAGATCGGAGCACTCATGAAAACATTTTTTCGGTCACTATTATTCCCAATTTTTTTCATTTCAATTCTTAACAATCCCGGTTCATACTCACTGCATTTTCCCTGTTCAGGTATCTCAGTCTAGAAGAGTTCTGGTAGGTACGAAGATCCCAATAGCCAATGGATGGATGGTACTTGTAATTGATAACTTATTTCACAATTGAGTATGTGAATGAGTTTTTGAATCATAGACACATTTCCTTGAAGATCTTCGACGACCGTTCCTTTTTTGCATCATCTAAGACAAAATAATTTTTCTCAGCTTCATTATTTCCTGTGCTCCTATCAGCTTCTGGCGAAGGATTTATACCTCCAAGCAATGAGCATTCATGGTCATCCGGTACGATGATTTCATGTCATTGTTTCCATTCTCAAGAGATGAGGAGACCTGCTGGTCCTCCATTGGTTGAAACGAATCGTCAGACCGTCAAATGGTCACAAATTTACGCTAGACGCCAAACGTGAAAGTGGGAGGTTGCGTTGGATCTAAGGCCAGATTCTCTGATGGAACGGCATCTTTTTTCAAGCGTCTTATTGCGTTTCGATCATGATAGGAATCTAAGGAGAAGGGATGCGAGCACACTAAAGCATATCTGGGGATAGATTTTCTTCCAAGCGATCGAAGCCATTCATTTTCTTTGTCTAGACATTTTGGGAATTCATGGCAGGAAATATTTCATGCCTGCAGAGTCCTATTCTTTGAGGATGCGACAATGCAATCCTTGCCACTGTCCTTCATAACAAATGCTACTAAGAGAGTGAATGAAATAAAGGAACCTAAGAATATCATCGAAATCAACGAACAGGTCGGCAATGTATGTACGATGCTGCCTAAGTGGCTCTGACAAACGAGAGTACAGGGTAGATGTATTACAGCTGTAAGAGACATGAGAAAGTGTGTGCGACCTGTCTTGGCCCTAAGCAGCGAGCTAAGGGCAAAGCTCCCGCTTTTATAGTGGAACGTTTCGCTGACGTCATCCCATGCGCAAGATTTTACCCCCCCCCCCCCTCCCCTCCCCTCTCCGACCCCCGTTGGTCCCACCTCTCACCCATCTTCCGTGTCTGCCCTACCGGTTCGAAATCTTTCGAACAACTTGAAAGTCCGATAACGTGACGCGACATCCTACCTTGTCCAGATACTTGTTGCAACATGTGATGGTTCTCTGATGCCTTTTCCCCAGATTAAGACAAAACTGAATGCTGAATTGCGCCATTTTAGATATACGGCAGACGCTTTACATAGTGTGTTGCCTCGTTTCCATTATCGATGTCGGATGAGGACTTGCATGACACCACTCAATAGCCCAATGTAACAATCTATTGGCGTGGCCGTAACGACATCACCGTCCTCATAAAAAATTCAACTCTGGGATGTAATTGTCACAGCCTGTATATGAATTACTGAACTGACTCACATCCGTGACATTGATCGTATTGGATATGCTCTGCTGCATCCTAAATTTATACGTATAGTTGGAAGGTTCATACCAGCCGTCATAGGCCCAAAGACCGCTGTAGAAGGCAGTGGCTATCTTCCCATATTCTTTGGTCGTACCATTGAATCCCAGATTCAGTTTCGATTCCCCTGCGAAGGATCAGTGGGGTGAATACGAGATCGATGACCGGAAATAAAGTTCATGGCATTTATGATTAGAAACCTTGAGCGAACTTGACGATGCCAGTGATGACGATGATGACCACGGCCAACAGTTTTGCCGTCGTGAACACATTCTGCACCCGGGTTGCCAACTTCACATCGAAGCAATTCACGAAAGTTATCACACCTGTGAATGTATCAAGTACAGCAGATTAATACCAATCTCTAACTACAGGGTATTCCAAAAGTTTGAACTCGTACGAATCACCGCATATTCAATCTGTATGCAAGATGTATTTTCCCTCAATTTTGAGGCGCAGTTTCAGACGCTTACAGCTGCTCTAGCTGGATTCTCCGAAGGATCTTCTTGAGTATCTGGGAATGTTCATGGCGATACAATGCTCCAAATGCAATGAACATTTTGGCACTGCGTGAGCATTATTCATCAAATTCATTTGGAGCATCGAATTGCAAAGGCTTGTACACAAATACTCTAGAGGATTTGGATACAAACCTTTGAAGAGTCCAGATAGGGGTGACTTGAGCATCTGTAACTGCGTCTGCGACTGTTATAATTATATGTAGTATTTTGCAAATGTAGCGATCGTTTTAGAGGTCATGCTTTTTGGGGTATCCAGCCGGGAAAAAAAAAAGACGACTCCGATAAATAGCTGTATATCTCTCATTCCCAAGGATTTCACAAGCTAACGAAAGTGAAAAATTCAGCACACATGCAGACTGAAAGAAAATAAAATGCATGCTTTCTGTCATGCAAACGCAACCAATTAAACACTGCAACACACCCAAATGACTGAATGCACAATAAATACTTTGCCTTACCTGGAAGAGGCCATTGGACAGTTTCCGATTGACCTAATTGTCAGAAGATGCGCTTCCCTTTGGATAGGTGTTATGTTCAGCTAAACTAAGTTTAAGATGTATCCTGAAGCAAGTGAGTAAATCTAGGGACGTACCGATACACAATGCAGCCACAAGTTTTTCAGATAATTCTTCTGAGTTCCCGTCGCATGATCCATCCTCTTTGCGGAGTTCCCAGAATGGGAGAACGACATATTTTGCAAAAGTAAGTGTAAGAATAGCCAATGAACTAGGTTTCAAGAGAAGAACGGAAGTCCATCCGAAGAGGAAGCCGAGCAGGGGGCCAAAAAAGTGATGAAGAGGCCCGAATGAATGAACATAATATGCAATTTCTCCTCCAGAGTAAGGGATTACGATCCCCAACTCAGCGTAGGACAGAGCCCCTAGACAATAAAACACAGGAAAATCAAATGCAAATGATGCGGCATGAAAAATAAAAAAAATAAATAAAACAATAAAAAAAACGTATTCCTCACACCAGATTCGTTTCCTTAATTTAATTTCCTTTTTTTTTCCCTGTTCCGTCCTTCCTCATCCCCCCACCCCCCACCACCACACACATTTATACACACACAAACAGAATAGAATAAAGACGGAAAGGAGACGGAAATGGATGATGGATGATCGAAGATCGAAGATCAATACGGCTATGAGCCAACCTCCGGTATATATATGACGCACTTGCAGGCGAAAGGGAACCACCCACCTTTACCTTTCTCTCACGAATACCAATTTTCTTTCCCTTCCTCTACAGTACTCTGCATACTCGAACGAAGCCGTGCAAGAGACAGCTCTACAATACTGCACAAACACATGCTGGACAAAAACGCATTCCTCATGCATTCATTCTACGGGTCCCGGCTGCCCAAGCTGTGACGTACCGATGGCGAAAGCTCCTACTATTTTCACCATGGTGTCTTCCGAGTTGCAAAGGGGAACGAAGCCATTGATAACGTATTCCGCGAAGCTGAGACATATGATAGCCAGCATAGAAGGTTTGAGAATGAAAACGGAGACCCAACAGTAGATGAAAGCAGGGAAGCCTCCGAAAGCAGCTAAATAGTAGGTATACTCGGCACCAGAGTACGGAATCAGAGTTCCCAACTCTGCATAAGCCATGGCACCTGAAGTGAAGAGGACAGGGAATACAAGACCAGATTCATCGACACTTTTACTTCACTAAGTGCCTTTCATGGAATGGGAGAAATCAGTCGTGCCTTGCAAATCGCAACGTTTAATATCCATTCAGAACTGATCCCGGATTTCCTTATAAATTTCTCCCTGGTTTCCCCCCATATAAATGGCTTCCGGAAAGCAATTCCGCAAAGTTTTCTCTCTAAACATCCGCGAAGTAATGAATGCGATGCAAATTTATGCGTGGAATATTACCTGACTCAGGACGCGGATGAGAGGCTTCGTCTTCTAGCATAAATGACAATTCCTTTTTCATTATTAAAAAAAAGAGGACTTTCATTTCAAATGCTCCTTGCGATCTTACTTTTTAGTGTTAGTGCAAGGGGGACTGGAATGTCCTGAGCTTTTCATTCCTCGGATGGGTGCTCGGGTTCAAAGCAAATCGCTCTGGGATAGGAAAACTTGGGTTGGGTCACTTTTTGAATGAATGGTATCGACCGGGTATCGATTTTGAGATCTGACAAGAGGAATGACGGAGCCTTACCCAACATGGAGAGGAGACCGCATGCAGCCCAGATGATGAGGGACAAGCCGACGGAGCCTGTCCTCTCCAACAGACCCGTGGGACTCACGAATATCCCTGAGCCTGAAACATAAACATTAAAAAATGCAACAACGTCATCAACTCTCACCTAAGTAAGAGATTACCAAAAATGACAGGCCTACTCTCAGCTATTCGTCGTCAACTCACGCCGTCTGAAAGTACAACGGCTTATTAAAGTCGTAGAAGTCTCAAGAAGCAGGAAAGTCCTTCAGTGTTATGGGGGCGTTCATGACGCCCTCAAAACTAATTAGATCGACAGCTGTAGTTATATCGATTGGCGCCTGTCCTGCCTTCCTCTGCTCCTCTCTACTCGTACGATCATAGGCACACCAAGTTTCTTGAGGTTGGGGGCGAAGCAAAACTGACATTTTGTCCCTCTCCACCCACTTTCAAAGATGGGGGAGAGAAGCGACCGGCCGTATGACCCTATTATATCCCCGTTAGTGATCCTGCACATGTATGACGCAGTGGCGGATACAAAAATGTTCCATTGGGGGAAGGGGGGCGATTCCCTAGTTCCAACTCCTATCCCACCAACCGCCATCCTCCATCCTATCGCCTTTTTCATTTGTTGTCTGTGGTAAGAACCTGTATATCCATTTCACAGGCCCAAATAAAAAATAATTTATGTAATTTTTATATTTTTTAAATTGAATGCGAACCTGGCCACAGGGGAGGGGGTCGCTTCCCCTCCCCTGGATCCACCTCTGATATGGCCTTGCCACATAGTTTCCCTCAGTTCTCTTTAAGAGCGCACTGGTCGCCTGGGACACAGTATAAAAATGACTTCTATCATTACGTACTTATACGTAGTAGGTTCAAAAAGTTTCCGGACTGGGTCTGGTTCCCACCATTGGTCACGGTTGGAGCAATTTAGTTGGTGTTTCCTTCAAAGTAGTGGCCCTGGCTAGTCACGCACTTTTGCCTGCGTCTGTACAGTTCTTTGAAACAGGGGGCGAACCCATTAGGTGCAACCTCCTTGAGCGCAGCCGTCGCAGCTTTCATCACATCATCGGCGCTGGAAAAGCGTCTTCCTTTCAGAAGATTCCTCTTCCGCGGGAACAGATAGAAATTGCATGGCGCGAGATCAAGCGAGTAAGGTGGACGTGGCAGGGCAGTTCTTCCCATGTCTGCCAAGAACTGCGTCACCATTGGCGAACGGTGAGCGGGTGTGTTGTCGTGAAGAAAATCCCGCCCCTCCTTGAAACGTCGATACCACTCGAACACCTGAGACCTTGACGTCATATTGTTCCCGTACGCTTCCTTCCACAGTGTGAGGGTCTCTGTAAATAGTTTTCCCTTTTTTTCGGCTAAGTTTTACATTCCCAAGCTGCTCAAACTGTGACGTGTTCGCTGCCAGATATCAGAGCGACAAGTGACCCTAGATACTTTGCACGTGGTGGAAACTGTTGAGCCTACTACGTATAATTGACAAGAACTGCAGAAAAAAAAACTTTCAGGAAATAACCCTAAAAATTTTCATCTGATTAACCTGATCCTTACATGCAGAACCTCCGATAAATCTGAGATTCCAATTCTCTAGCACTACCTCTTGCGAAGCTTAAGTGAGCGGCTTCATATTTTTTTGAATCTTTAAACGAGGAGCACAGTTCTGAAGCAGTGATCCCCAGTTCAATATTAGAACTCATGCTCAAGTGCGTAAGAGATAGATCTGCTTGGACTGAAAGCAAATATTTGACGAGACAGCAGCAATCTATCCGGCTGTCCGTCGAGAGTTCTTGAAAGCGAATGCTACAAGGCATGGTGTAGGTGCGACTCCGAGTGACATATCTGATTCCTAGTTTCTTTAATGTTCATGTTAATGTGCCCGTCATAAAAAAAATAACTGTAAGCTATTTTTATGACAGGCACACATCACGGGGATTGAAACATTTTCAATTTGGAACATTTACATTTTAAATTTTGCGAATAAATTTCTGAGATACAGCAAGGGAAACTGGAGTTGGGGGGGGGGGGGAAGAAACTGCAAACAAAGAGGCTGGAAATTTAGGTTCATAAACTTCGGCTAACTCCCTGCACCTCGAGGGACACGTTTGGCACGTTGGCACGTTTGTTCATAGTAGTCAATTGTCTCCCTCTACCGTTTACTTGAGTTCCGTCTTATTCTTTCTTTCAGGTTCTTCACCTTGAGAAAATGAGGTGAAAATGACTTCAAAAAGTTTTTCACATTTCTATTCAGTTAGCAAGTTGGAATTCACTGCATATGCTGCCAAACCTTAAATCTTCTATAGGTCTTATTTCGAGTAACAATGCCGGAAAATTAGCACGTGGTGCTAGGAGACGGGAAGAAGGTGAGATCAGTTGGAATTCTCTGTCGTCTTCCAGTCGGGAAGGATTTTATTGTTAAGGCCTTCCTTCTCACAACGAAGAGAAACTTTTTATTTTTTAATAATGAATAACCGGCGGGGATTTTTGCTGGCTTCGCCGCTATGGAACCGAAATTTTCTCGAAAAATGCTCTAAGCTAGACAGATATGGGGAAAATACGAATACGGCACGACAATATAATCCGTATGAAAAGACTGAGGGATATGATATCGTGTTATACGATAATTTATTGCGCTTGATAATCTTTGACCTCATCTGACACGAGGCCAAGAGAGACTTGTAATCTCGCTCCCTGAGTCCCCCGACAAGAATAGATCTCGTGCTTCGCACTTTAAATGCCTTTCTTGACTTCGATAGTCGCAGGCACATTTACACGAGACTTAAATTTTGAGGAAGGATTGGTGATCTCTTCCAAGATTTATGTAGTCCACATGCCATCGAGGCAAGCTCAGAATGAAATGGATATGTGGGAAAAGTGGCAGATCATCATGGCGGCGCTCCATGGGCTGCAGCCTTCCCTGTCCACTCTAATTCTAACACTTTGCTCAGTGCTGTTATTTTTCCCCCTCGAAGTTAGTGGCGAAGATCGATTCAGGTACTCCAGGAATGAGGTTATGAGCCTCCATTGTTGCAAAACCGGCCTTCCCGAAGGTGCACAATCACGGATTGCCAAACTCCCCTTCGTTCGAAAGAGAAGGCGAGGCAAGCGGAGCGGCCTTCTACGTCGTCTCCGCGCGTGTGTTGTGGAAAATCTACCCTCGCCGATCATCGTAAGTGCAAACGTTCAAAGCTTGATTCCAAAGTTGCCGACCCTTAAGGACCTTGTCAGCAAGAAACTATTCTCTGCTATTTGTGCACTTTGTTTGCAAGAGACATGGTTGACTATTATGGTGCCGGACTCTGCCGATTCACGATTCTATTGTTTCGAGCAGATCGCAGACACTCAAAAAAGAAAAGAGGAGGAGGAACTGCAATCTATATAAACGAAGGCTGGGATCCTAATGCGGAGGTCCTTCAGGCGGTGAATAACCTGAATCTTATTGCAGTAAAGTGCAGAAATAAGATAATCATCATGTCGGTATACATCAATCCTGGAGGAAACAAGGACTCCGCAGTCGAGACAATCAGCGACCTTGTCAACCGGTTTTCAGATACATAAGCTCTCTTCATAGCAGGAGATATGAATCGAGCATCGTTCACCCCTATTCAGGCATGCTTGAAAATGTGGTGTCATTCGCAACCCGAGGAGATTCGAATCTCGTCCAAGTCTGAACAAATGCTAGGAATATGAAGTCAAAAAAACTCGCGCAGTTCTCAGACCACTCGGCTCTCTTGATATATCCTAAATTCCTCTGCCGATATTCGAGAGAGAGATGCTGGAAAAGAAATCAAATAAGAAAGCTCGACAAGGGCCGATTGTGTTTTGAGCTTGATGTCACAGACTGGGACGTTCTACTTGAGTCGGAAGATTTTGAAGCGGTAATATCAGCATATATTAAATTTTGCTACGATCTCGTCTGTCCCAAAGAAGGAGTCCAAGTAGAAGAGAACTATGTGAGAAATCAGAAGATAATACATGCTAGGAGACAACGGGAGAAAGCACTTGTGAGAGGAGATACAGAGTCATTCAAATTCGATTATTCTAAAAGAAGTGAACGACGTCAATGGAGCTCTTTTTGCACATAAGCAGTCGGCGTCTGAGTCCAAGAAAACCTGGGATAAGCTCAAGAAAATGAGTGAAAATGAGGGACGATCGACCCAAAAAAGCAAGGATCCGATTCTCTACAGAAGAACTCAATCAATTCTTTCTAAGATTTGAGGAAGCCGACTCAGATCCTGAACTACCACAGGAAGTTCTACTATATTGTCCAGATCCTTCATCGCCAAACTTGACGCAGGAAGATGTGCAGAAACTACTAAGCAAGCCAAGGCCCAAGTTATCCACAGGAGCCTGTGGAATTCCAACGTGGATTCTAAGAACTTGTGCCCGCGAGTTAGCTCTCCCCTGGACACCTCTATACAACCGATGGATCTCCACCGGAATAATACCATCATAGTTGAAAAGGATTAAAATAACGCCCATACCGAAGAAGCCTCAGCCCAAAGCCCTCAACGACTTTCGCCCTATTGGGTCTTCATCACCTTTTCTGAAAGCATTTGAATATTTCCTCCTGCAACAGCTGAATAAATTCGGAGTGATCTCGTCTGATCCATATCAATTTGTTTACAAAGTATCTCGGTCAATTGAAGATGCTATTCTCACGATCCTCCACTACATCAGCAAAGAATTGAACGAACCTCAACAGCGAATAGTACGCAGTCTATTTCTAGACTATAGCTCAGCGTTCAACTGCATCGATCGGCAAAAACTTTTGATTCGCATTGCAGAAATGAAGGTACCACAATGGCTTCTGCTGTTGATCACCAGCTACCTATCCGAAAACAGTTTGTTCTCATGAATGGGAAAGCCTCAAACACCCTTGCATCCCGAACCGGTGTACTACAGGGCGGTGTATTGTCGCCATTCCTCTTCACTTACTACACCGACTCCCTTCGAGTTATGAATCCCAACTCACGTATTGTCAAATATGCCGATGACAGTTCTTCTCAGTGCCATCAAAAGCGAGGAGGACATCCACAACTATGAAGAAGACATCGAGCACCTAGTCCGATGGTCGAAAGCGCAGAACCTCATCCTAAATCCAGACAAGTGTCAAGAGCTCGTGTTTTCAAATAAGGGCTTAAAAAACCCACTTCTGGTTGGACTGAAGAATCGACATATTCGTGTCGACGGGACGGTCATCTCAGCAACTAACTCGGTCAAGTACCTCGGAATTTACATTGACAAGGAATTATGCTTCAAGGATCAGACCGAGCAGATCTTTCAGAAATGTTACAGATTGTCCTATCTGGCTATGAATGTGACTCGCTCTATCCCGCACACAACTTCCTTCATTCGCCTCTTCATTGACGCTTGCATCATCTCTTGCTTGCGTTACGCCCTTCCCATCTACGGCTGCTATCTCTCAAAGAAAAGCTCTTCCTACATAATGCGAATTCTAAAGTGCATTGCATATATCGGTGACCAGGACATTGAAGACGTGAAGGAAGAATTTTTAAAGAAAATAAATCTCTCGGGTATCCAGCTATATGAGAAAATTCAAGAGGATTTCTTGCATCCCTTGCAATCGGAGTGCGCTCCC